ACAATTTCTACATTGAGCCATCGATCCTGTCCTTGTGTGGAGTCTTTTTAGAAACGATTGGACCACACTCCGTCAAGTTGTTATACTGACCACAGACGATGTGCACCTGGAAAATGAGGAGTGCAGAATACTAATGAGACACTAAAACTGTCAGTCCGGAGTAAGAAGTCAACAACAAACACACCACAACACATGTTTCTTTTCATCTTTGTCCTGGAATCAAAAAGGTAAATCCTGAGATGAGAGGGTATGTAATGGGCCATGAAAAAGTATCCGTAGTGTTGTATTTAGCGTGACCTGAATTTGACATCCTGTGTGGAGAATAAAAAACTATGTTTACAGGAGATGTTTGATGTTTCCTGGTTGTGAGCGGGTGAGGAACCTGTAATGAGCAGGTCAGAGAGCACTCTGAGTTTCAGTATGCAGATTATAAAGGATCAGAGTTTATTAGATGGAAGATTATGAAATCGCTCACAGTCTATCTCCGATTACCAACAATATCACAGATCGCTTTATATAAGGACGCCATCATTCAGATTTATTCTAGTATGTCTATTTTCTATTTTTATGTTAAACTTTATTTAGAAATGAGAATTAAAATAAAGTTTAACAACACGGGTAAACTATGTACTAGTAGTGATTTGCGTGAGCGCCTTTCAGGGCATGTACAATAAACACATCGAGAATCAGTGTTGTTAACTTTTAAGCACCAGTTGCCTCCTGCTGTTTATAAAGGAAAACAGTTAAGAGAGATGTTGCTATCTTCCTACTATGACAACAAGGCAACATTCAAACAAGAAGACAGTCGGGAAATAGAAAAATAATGCTAATAATTCTATGTCAGCTGGGACAAAAGCTAACTAAATAGTCACGTAAAATAACCCCAATTGTTTTTCTCCATAAGTAAGTACAAAATGTTTTTGTTTTTACTTGTGTCCCTGGAAAAAAAAAAGAAAGAAGCATGTTTAATGCTCAAGAAAAAAAAACAATCATCTCTCAGGAAATTAGAAATAGTGTTCCTGCTCAGATTTAAGAGTTTTGTTTTTTTCTCTCAGTATTTCCCCTAATCTTGAGCTGGAAGCCTTGTTCAAGCGGCACTTCACCCAGGTGGAGTTTTACCAAGGGTCTGTCCTAAACCCACATGACCTGGCCAGAGTGAAGGTACTGACAATGACACTCCATCCTCTGTGGCTCAGAAGGAAACTGTTCTGTTTTGGTGTCTATAAAGTCTGAACTTACTTACTGATGTCAGTTGGGTAATGTTACTTGTTTGCTGTGTGATTTCCAGATTGAATCAGCTGATGCCTGTTTGATCTTAGCTAACAAATACTGTGCTGACCCTGATGCTGAGGATGCATCCAATATTATGAGGTAAATCAAAGCAGCTTCTTCAAAAATTACATTTTGTTTCTTGTTTGGTTTGTTTTTCAATTTATATTCGATGTTGTGTTGTGACGGAAGCCCTAAACGATTTTAATGCCTTTATTTTGAGATCACAAGTTAATTATTTTGTTATCTCGGGATAACAAAAGTAATTTTCTCGTGATAATGGGTTCATTTATCTCGAGAAAGCAAAAGGCAGATAATCAGATAAACAAACAAAACACTTCATAAGATTCATAAGAGTGGACTATGACATACACACACTGCTCTGTGGCGTGGGTTGGGAGTTTCAAAGCCAACCATAAGAGCCTTTAAGAACTTTTGATATGAGGGAATTTACATTATGACTAATTATTGTAAGGGGTAGGGTTACATAGAGTGTTCAACTTAAAGCAGACAAATAGAATAAGCTGGACTAACTGATTGGAGTGTGTACAGATTTCTCCTTTGGGGGTCCTGGAATATTTCCTTAGACATAGGGGGTTGTGGGAAAAAGGGTTGCTTAAATGTGTTACCCTCAGCAAAATACATTTTTTTGTGTTTTTTTTCCCCGACTAAACTAAACTAAGCTGAAGAACAAATAGAGAACCTCTAAAGAACCATATGGACTTAACGGGCTCTGTGTAACACTCTATTGTTCCCAAAGAACACCTGAAGAACCACTATTTGTGTAGGATCTTTATGAAAATGTTACTTTTAAGTTAAAATGTGTTCCAGAAATATACTCTATAAACAGTTTAATATGTAATAATCTGTATATATAAACCAGTGTAATCATGTAAAGTAATATTTACAGTCTTCCCTTCGGTTGGTACTATGTTGGCTTTTTGTAGTTTTAACTCCACCGGCTCATCTTTTTTTAACAATATGAAATCTTTGAAAATGCAAAAGGAATTTAGGATGAAAACTGGAAAATAAACAGCAGTTGGTAAGCTCTGCAACAGCATGTCCCCCAGACTACTGACAGGTAATTGGAAATCCAGACACAATAGGAATGGAATATATGAAATGTTACCAAATTAAAGTGAACGCCAGTGTTTGATATCAGTTCCCACTTTTTCCTGGACTTAAATTGTGAGTGTAAGCGAGCGTGTCGGAGCTGGCTCTCACTGTAAGCAGACATACTCTCAGCATGAATAAGCTCCTGGTGCTCATTTTCCCTTTTGGAAAAGTATCAAGAATTCAGGAAGAGAGGAAACATGAATCTGTTACAATTTGCACTATTTTCTTTCATTAAAATATACAACAAATGGTTTTGTCTTTAGCTTTAAATCTCTGGACATAAATGTAGACTGCCAGCTGCCCAGTTGTAAATTGTCTTAATAAAATACACTATATAAAGGTTTTCTTGGAGCTATAAGGAGTTTTTCTGTTTATGAATGACATAAACATGTCTGGAAAAAGTAGACACTGACACAGGAAAACTTTTTGCGAGTGTTCTCATTTTTCTTTATCCTTTTTGTCATCCTTTAGGGTAATATCCATCAAGAACTACCATCCAAAGATCAGAATAATCACTCAAATGTTACAGTACCACAATAAGGTTGGTACAATCTCTTACTTTTAATTGCGTCAAAGCTTTTTGGAGTCATTAATTAGATATAATGTAATGTTTGTTTTCGAAGTATTTTTGCATTTTGACATGGATATTCATGTTTCAGTTCATTTGGCCTGATACGATTTAGGCTTGAAAGATTTTATTGTTAAATCTTGTCTGTGTGTGTTTAACTACAGTTGGCATTTCGGTAAATCTACCATGTATCTTTTTTTTCTCCCTTTAGGCCCACCTTTTGAACATCCCAAGCTGGACCTGGAAGGAGGGAGACGACGCCATTTGTCTTGCGGAGCTGAAGCTCGGCTTCATCGCCCAGAGCTGCTTGGCTCAGGGCCTCTCCACCATGCTGGCCAACCTTTTCTCCATGAGGTCCTTCATCAAGGTAGCCACAGTTAAGATTCAACCATCTGTGCTCACTGGATTAAGTACAAAAGTATAGTTGGCCATGAAATTGTCTGAATAGATAATAATGATTATCCCAGATGAGGCCCTTGTGCAGCATCTGGTGAGTGGGTAGGAAAAAACTTTTTGTTTTTCTGTGTTCAGTTCTTTTTGTGATGGAACAAGCTTTCTGTATTTTGTTATACATCTTTGTTGTAGATTGAGGAGGACACATGGCAGAAGTATTATCTAGAAGGAGTAGCCAATGAGATGTACACTGAGTACCTGTCGAGTGCCTTTGTGGGCCTGTCCTTCCCTGTAATTTGCGAGTAAGTACACTGAAATATAGCCAATTTCTTTAATAAAAGTTAAAAGGTCTTTGCGGCCTTCTCTTTCTTTTTTCTTTTCTGCTACTTTTGGGTTTGTGTTCTCTTGTTGCACTGCAGAAATTTAGGCTTGGTGGCATTTAGCATTGTATTTTTAAATAAAGTAGTAAGGTACCCAAAATCACATGATAATCATCGTAACAATTGTAATATTTGGTAATTGTGACCTTAAGATAGTGGGATTTACAAAAAAAAGCCACCATCACCACATTCATAGGCCATTTCTCTACAAAGTCCCTGAATTACCATATTTAAATATTATAATTAAAATAATTATTTTCTCAACTACTGGATTTGTGAGTTGAAGACTCAAATAAACCAAGAAAAAAGACAACAAGTCTGCATTACTCAGGAATTATAAATCAGACCTCAAAGAAGAAAAATATGCCAAAGGTGATGATTTTAAGAAAACTACAAATATTTAGCCTGCATGAGGTCTAATTCTATCATTATTCTCTTTTGCAGACTCTGCTATGTGAAGCTAAAACTACTACTGATAGCTATAGAATACAAGTCTGATCAAAGGGAAAGCAGGTAAGTCAATGTGCTCACAGTGGATTGTTGAATCCATTAAAATTCATGGATGCAAAAACTTAAATACGCAGGTGTGTTTGCTGTCAGTGTTTGCTTTCAGTGATGGAGCTACTTTGAATCCGCTTCTCTGTTTGACTGCAAACACAAGGCGCCTTACAAAATGTGCTAAATTGGTGTCTAAATTGGTTTGTTCACAGACATCACAAGCGTTTCTGATAACATCCTGACAAATTAATGGGAAAGGTTGCAGTTGGTTTCTTTAAGCACTGCTAAATCTTTGTTTTAGTGGTTTCTCCGATGCACTGATGCTCAGTTTATACCATTTGAAGTGTCACTGCTATCTGCTTTCATGAACTTAATTTAATAAACAGAGGCTATTCTGCCAAATGAGTTGCGAAAAACTAATCCTGCCAGTGTGTGCCACTGCCAGTGATTAGTGCAAAGCCTTGCAAATTCTGTGATATAACTTTCCGCTGTGACATCTTTGGTCTATATATCCTTGCAGCACCCTGATAAACCCTGGAAACCACGTGAAAATGCAGGAGGGGACCTTGGGCTTCTTCATTGCCAGCGATGCCAAAGAAGTAAAGAGGTAATGAATGCGACCTGCAATTAAATGGTAGTAAAAGTAAAGTCTTGCTGTTATTTCATGCTGTTTTTTCCTGTTCTGTAGCCCCCATGCCATACAGCATCTCTATCCTACATTATTTCAATTGAGTTATAAATGTAGGTAAAAATGGAAAACATGCCCACACTTTATAAGAATGTAAGCAGTTCATAGGAGTGCTGTATAAGTTTATTACTGAGGTGTTCTTGACTTCTTGACTCTGTAGAAAAAAACACAGTAACTGTTATTAATAGAAATATATTATTGCCAATAGTGTAGTGTAGTGTAGTGTTGTTTGGTTAGTTTGGTGGGTTAGGCAGCATGTTGCAGTGCTTACATATGCTGGTTGCTAACTGTTTTTTGTAAGCTGATTATGTTAGCTGGTGATAGTAGTGTACTTTGTGGCTTGCTAGGTTGAAGCTGAGGAGCCTTGTTTGTTTGGCATGCTGCAATCTGTCAATGCTAGATATGATGATGTGTAGTTGTTTTGCTTGCAATCTGCAACTTGCCTTTTTGGTCAGGCGAGGTTTCAAAGACAGGTTGAAGTTTTCTGTAAGTATTCCATAGTGATTGCAAGCAAACTGGAACTCATTGCTGCAGACATAGTGAAGATAAAATGTCTGTAAATGTGTTATTTGAGCATGTTGGACACAACCTGACATGCCAATGAGTTAGCTTACATGGGATTCTTGTTTTTCTTCCACAGGGCACTGTTTTACTGTAAAGCCTGCCACGATGACATTACTGATCCTAAAAGGATAAAGAAATGTGGATGCAAGAAATGTAAGTGACTGCATATAAAACATTGTTTGACTTCATTAACATTTCTTCAGACTAAAGTGAAACAGCACGGAGTTAACAGTCAGCAGTGTGATGGTGTATTTACATGACCTACATAGCCATGTGTCCAAACCATTTAGTCCCTGCATTAATTATTCATTTCTTGAAACCTTGTAACTTGTGCATGAAGAAAGGTCATTGGATTTCTTTCTGCAGCCAAAACAAACAGGTGCGCTCCAAGTTTCCCTTGTAATACTACATGTTTGGGCCTGACATAAATACTTGCCCTCATTAAAGGGTCAGTTCACCCACATTACAGAACACAGATTTCAGCTGCTATCTATTGACGCAGAGTTGTGTTTGTATGTGCTGAAGTTTTGAGACATACTCTGCTTTTTCAGTGTGTGATTTGGGTGAACTGATTCTTTAAGTATTATAGTTTCTCAGGTAGACATCGTTTATAATGGACAACATCAGATGATAGTGAGAATGACTCAGCATGTATAGCCTATTCTCTTTTCCATTTGATTCCCTGTAATAGATAAACTGACAAGTGAGAAATCAACCTAATTAACCTGTGAATACAGTTTAAATGTTCATTGTGTCTGTATGCTCATGTGGATGTTTGCTATGTTTTCTTTTGTATAATAGCTGTCTGGGCTTTTAACAGTTCATTGATAACTTTGTGATGTTAACAGGCATTCAGAGAGACTGTTAACACTACAGGTACCTGAATGGATCATGTGTTTCTAGACTTTAAAAACACCATGTTTCACTTTGTTGCTCTTTCACTTGGATTTAATACAGTTTGTCTTGTCTTAACCATTAGAACTAACAGCTAATCTTAATATTTGATGTATTCTCTTCCTGCTGCTTGGGAACTTGACACACTTTCCTTAAAAATTCACTTTATAGTGATATATTGTGAGTAATGTGGATTCATTTCCCTTCCAAAAACACAGCCTGCTACCCCCGATTGAAGCAACCTGTTTGAATGTACTGTAAATGTTGCATGTACAATGGTTGATGCTGCCTGGATCCCCCCACGTTGTCATGTGCACATAGCAAATTGAGGAACAAATTCTACAAAAATGACTATAACTATCATAATACCTAACCACATTTATTCTTTTATTAGGAAAAAGCCAAAAAAGTATTATAACCTGAAGATTTCATTCATGCCTTTTTGAGTTAACAGTACTCCAGATCACCACCAGATGTCCTCACAGTCCTTTGACAAACACAATACCCCTGCAAGAAGAGCACAGCTAGAAAGCCACCAGGATGAGGAACATTTCCTTTGAATGGTTTTGATAAAAGGAATAAGTCATTTGACACACATCCCAAAACGATGTAATTCACTGAGGTGACTGCACAGTTTTTCCCAGCACATCTGATATCAAGAATGTTTTGGGACAAACAGCAAAGTTGTTGTGTTACTTGACAATGTCAAAATAATTTATGATCTAATACAGTTGGTGGAAGTGGAACATGTCATTTTTGTTTTTGTCCTTTCTGGATGCACTTACAGATCTATCTAAGTCCAGAAAACTGTTGTATGTGAGACACTGCCACTTTTTTTTTACCTTTTTGTTAGAGAAATGTCTGCCATCTTGCCTTAGCGTTTGAATCCATAACTAGAATTAGAAACCAGTACAGATATTTAAGAGATGTAAAATGTTTACATATGCTCAAATCATGTCTCATCACATAGTGGACATACAGTGAGCTTGTAGGGGTCATGTTGAGGTGAAGTCAAGTGGGAAATTATGGGTATTATTATTTCTTATGCTGCTGAAAAAGTTAATGACCTGCCCTATCCTCCCACCCCCACTCATTTCACATCTTTACCCCAAAACCACAAGACTTTATGACCTTGTGATATTTTCCCTACTAGTCCCAGAAATGACCCAAACCTAATAAACCACAAAAAGTGGAAAAAATTCAAAATTCCTAATCTGACATTTGCACGCTGTCAAGACTATCTTGTGCATCCCAGCAGCAGCCTTCCTCTGTGCCCTGTCTTGCCTTTGTCCACTCTTCCTCCAGAACGACCCTCAACATTAACCTGCTCTTCCTCTCCTCTCGTCTGAACCCGTGACTGTAGCCAAGATGGCCGCCTACAAGAAAATGAGACTGGCATGTTGTTTTGATTGCGGCCGCTCAGAGCGGGACTGCTCTTGCATGCCAGTTAATGTGCGTTGTAACATGGACTCCCCTCAACGCGACATCCCACTCTCTGCTGTCTCTGTTAATGATTGCTCAGCCACTTTACGTGCCTGTAAGTTGTCGCCATGACATGTGCTCTTCAGTGTTTGTAACATGCACTAGGTTAACCGTACAGTGTGTCTTTAGCGTGTGTGCCATCTCTCTAGCAGCTGTGTTGTTACGTCATGGATATAGATGTTGCTTTGCCTGTGTTGCTACTTTTGGAGGTGACTTTTAACTGTCGTGAAGCATGCCAGTAGACTGTTTTGCTGGTGTTTTGTCCGAGAATGTGAATTCAAATTGACCTGTAGTTTAAATTAGATCAACGGTCACTAGTGCTAAATTTTGCAGAGTGTGAAAACTAGTTCTCCCCTGAAAAATGGTGTGCTTCCCCCTCCAGTGACCTCGCCAACATATTTCCAAGAAAATGAAGCTGAGGCCATGAAAAATGTACAGCTGTGCATCCCCTCCACAAATCTCTTGATGCACACTTAAACTTGGGAATCCTGGTGGAGAATTTGCATGCATTTCTTCAAATTAGGTGTTTTGATAGGAGTGTACAAGCGCTATAATGATGTCACTGGAGAGGGTAACTTCAGTTCAAGAATAACCTAAATATTTCACTACTGTACCCTCCAGAAATGGGTGAACAGGATAGGATTTGAGATATTTCTATGTATAAACGCAACTGACAATTAATTTAAAAAAGGGCGGTTTTAAGAGCTCCTGAGGGGATCTTCTGAGGGTAGCAGTACATATTGAGGTTAATGTACTGGTTTTATTAAATTAAGATCAAAAGCTTGAACAACCACTGGGGGTAAAATCTCCTAAACACATTCAGTACACAAACCAGTGTCCTATTCAATGCCAACGGAGAAGCTCTGGATTGAGTTTTTAGTCTTGTGATATTAATATGAATGAATGATATTGATGGAATAACAATAGAATAGAACTGGATTGTTTTGGATTGCAGGAGGAATAAAACACAACAGAATAGCGTTGGATCGTATTGGACTTTAGTGAATTAACCTTAACTGAATTAAGCTTCATATGAATTCTTAATTCAAGTGTGATTCCCCTTTAAAGCCAGAGGGCATGTTAAATTGTACTGATGTATCGCAGTAGGCATGAAGAATGTGTCTGAGTTCGCAGAGCGTTGATACAATTTGCTGGAAAACATTGTAGACTGTCACACAGTTTTAGTGAATGTTTCTTGATCAAAGACCATTCTGTGTATAGTTGAACATCTCTGGGCATTTCCACCCTTCAACATGTCTTCCAGGGTTGTGTGCTGTGAGCACCGCCCGGCTAGCTAAGCTCAAGCAGAGCTCCGCAGTTGCTGTCGACACGGTGCGGGGAGACGCGCAGAGCGAGGCCTTATACGGCCTGACATGGAAATTATGTTTGCATTTTCATTTTTGGAGTGCTACCGGTTGTCATGAAACTCAGCCTGACAGTTTCTAACCACCAGGCAGCCGAGTGTCCCCGCCCCTCTCCTACTCTCTCGTTGTGGGACAGATGCTAGCCTGTTAGTCCTGTGACTCTGCTCGCGCCCTCCGATTGCAGGCGACAGATGCCAGGACCAGCAAGGTCCCTGTTTGAACATTGCTGTCACTGTCCTGCCTTAAGCTCAATGCATGACCTTTATTATAAGCAAGGGGTTGAAATAAGGTACTAATGAGCATGTGTGGGACTCACGGCTCCAAAAAGTGACTCACATAAAGTTCCATGCATCCGTGTAGGTTGTGTCAGGCAGTGCAGACGAATGGGCTTTTTGGAAAGAGGAGAAAAAATAAACCTAATACTATTTATTTATGAACAAGAACACATGCAGTATTGTCACATATTGTAAGCCTTGTTACATGCATACCTCCTGACAAATGTTAATGCAGGTCTACATAGTGAGCACACATGATTTCCATGTCAAAAGACAGCTAGACAAGTTAAAACCAGGCTAAATTTGGTTAACATTTTTAGGCATCAAGGTTAAACAGCAATTTAATGACTATATTTCAATGTGTGCTGTAGTAAGGACCTTCTTCACATTGATCCGTGGTCATTTAATGTTGCTATATGTAACCTTGATAGAACTGAAACAATTAGCCGATTAATTGACTGGTCAATCAGCAGAATCTGCAACTATATTGATAATCATTTCATTTTTCCAAGTGAAAATACCATACATTCCCCAGTTTCCTTTTTAGGATTTTGAATTGTTGATCGGACACAACAAGCTATTTGAAGACATCAGCCTGGGCTTTATGAAATGGCAACAGGCATCTTCTAAACTATCTTCTGACATTTTACAGACCAAACAGTTAATCGATAATGTCTCTCTAACCAAATTTAGCCCAGGTTTAACCTCAACATCTAGATGCCTTTTGACTTGCAAATCACCAAACGTGCTCACTGTAACACATCAAACATGACTGTTCATATTCAGCAGGTGACCGCCTACAAACACTGACAACGATCCTCTGTTAAAGCTAACTGACCACATGGCTAAAAATCATATTCCTAACTGACCCGTTTTATTTCTCATTGCTTTGTCCATGTTGTCTTCAAGGCACCACTCTTTTATTAAAGTGCCTTAAAGAGAAATCTCAGTTCTCCCAATTGTCATTTATAATTTGCTTTCATTACAACCTGTTCCTCTCTGTAACCTCTCATCTGTCTCTGCATTCTTCTCAGCTAAAAATAGCTATAATGGATATATCAAATCAAGTAAGTTTTGATTTCCATTCTCTCTCTCTTGTCATTTTTTTCTAACCCTTCCACTTGTGCATTCTCAGCTATCATCACTTGAACTGTCTCTAACCTGCTGTATTTCACTGTTTGCTGCTCATCACTCTGTCCAGTCTATCATCATCCATCATTATATTTTATATGCAAAGCATTAGGAAAATTGTTTCTGAGTGGTTTGTGTTGGGTATCAGTTACAGCTCAGCAGTAGATGGTGCTACTGCTTCACTGTGTGGTGTATAGCTGAAAAATACAACATTTAGAGTAAATGTATGCAAGAATTTATAATGGAGATTCAGACAGGAGGCATTAAAAAAAGAGTTAGTCTAATATTTTCTCAGTTCTCGTGTGTGTGAACAACGTGGGCCGTCCACTCTAACAGGATCTGTGATAGGCAGCAAATCTGCCACAATGTGTTGTCCCAGGGAAGTGCTGTGCATGTTTGACATGGGGCAGATGAATAGTGGAGGTCTGGAGCAGAGAGGATAATCTGCTAGACAGCTGACTGTTGAAATAATCATCTCTATTTTCCAGTTTTAGCTCCTAGCCATTTTTTGGAGTAAGGGGAACACTTTTCCTCTGCTTCCTTTTGTCTATGTATTATGTTATCCTTACCAGTTTTACCTCTAGTGGAGCTGTAAGCTTTCACATTTCAAATAGTCAAGTGGATACGAGCTTGTTCCTCCCTCATCAGGCATAAACTGCATACAGCAGCTAGTGGTGGTTAATTCACATTGTCACCTCCTTGTTCTTATGGCATAACAATCGCTACAACACCTGAAAGCATATTTATTAATTCATGTTTATTATAAATATCAAAGCGAATGTCAAATCCAGCATTTCATTGGTGGCTATACCAAGTGGTTAAGTGGTGTTTAATAAAAATGAGGGTTTTTAATTATTCAGCTATTAGCATTCTTGTGCCAGAAAGAATTACCCCCAAAAACCAGCGATTATGCTTTAATTATGATAAGAGTCACAAGATGTTTTATTAACATACACACTGCAGGTCTTATTGAAGTCAGTTTTAATCAAATCATATCTTGTGGTTAATGTAAAGACCTGATGGGTTAGTTCACCCAAATCACAAAGCAAGCATTTTATAACTTCCCCTCGTGGTATCTACACATGCAGATTGTTTCAGTATCTGACATTTCTGCCCCACCCAACACAATGGAGGTGAACTGAATTGTGTTTGTGGTGCTCACATCCAACATCAAAAAATCTAATTCAATCAACAGCAAAATCTCTTTTTGAAAACAAAAAAAACCCTAGTTTGAATAATCTAAAGAACATACTATAAACAGTCACGTAACCATTTCTTCAGTAAAAAGTAGTTCCAATGAAAAATTTAAACAGTGAGGCCTGAAGTAATTTTTCAATGTTGTGAACACTACATAGAAATTGTATTCACCTCCATTGTATTAGGATGAGGCTGAATCTTAGACCACTATCTCAAAAACTCTTTTTTTGTGATTTGGGTGAATTGACTCTAAAAAAGCTAAGAATCC